AAAAAAAAAAAAAAAATCATGGCTACGCCTAATTTACAAATAACAAATTTAAGGTTATGTTTGGTAAATCTAGCTGATAAGTTAGTTGATACCTTATAAGAGTGTGTTTGGTAAGCACATAATTACTTTATAAATTATTTGGTTAGTTTATAAATTTCTTGTATTCATAGAAGCTTTGTATGGTATGACGAACCTTTTTAAAAAGTTTCAGCTTATCTCATAAGCTTGTTTGAGTATATTTCCAAATAAGCCTATTGAAATGTTTATTTCAGATGACTTATCAATTAATTTTACCAAACACGTTCATCATATCAACTAAAGTTTCAACTATAAGCCATAAGCTATCAGCTGTAAGTTCTAAATTCACTTATCAGCTAACAACTAGTTTGTCAAACATAGCATAAGTGAATTTCGAGCTTATAAGTGGCACCGTACTAACCAAGGTATCCAGATCCTCCCAGAATTGCCTCTTGGCGCTCTCACTAAGAAGCTTTTTACTTATCGCTGTAAAATTAGCTCATATGATAAAAGTATTTAGTAAAGTTAGTTGATAAACTAGCTTAAATAAAAAATTCAACGAGCTTATTTGAAAAGTTATCTAATGAAGCTTTAAGATAAACTCGAGTTTAAAAAAAAAAACGTCATACTAAATCAAACTTATTTATTTGGACAAAAACACTTATAAACTAATCAAATAAGCTACAAACTAATTTATGGTGCATACTAAATACCCTCCGAGTGTAAGTCAGTTTAATCGTTAGACGACTCATATTGTAAAATGCATATTTTATTGTGTGTAGTTATTTAAAAATATGTTATTCTAGTTTGAAAGTATATATTATTTTAAAAAAAAAATATGACTATTTAATCTTACAATATGTGATTACAATTTCACTTGCCTGATTGAAATGACAAGTGTTAAGTGTAAATACAAGACTGGAAATAATAACATGAAGGTAAAGAAGCATAAATTTAACAACATTTTATTTTTCATTTAACTATTGCAAATTTGGTTTTGTTAGCCATCGAATGACTCGGCTTAGGGAGTCATCCACGTCCTGTAATTAATGTACATTTAACATTTGTCAGTACATAAAGTTACGAATGACTGGTTTTGATGAAGAATATATATATATATATGTTTATAATTATTATTATTATTATTATTATTATTATTATTATTATTATTATTATTATTATTATTCCTTAATTATCTTGATTAGTTGGTTAGGAAGATATTTTATTTACTTGTTTGACAAGTTAGAGACTCCTAGATATTGAACTCTATTTATTAGCAGTCTGGCCAGAATGTACGGGAGTTGAATATTGAATGAAATAAGATATCGTGTTTTCTTTTGGGAGAGTATCCCGTGTTCTGGAGAGAGTATCTCCTTTTATCTTCCCGTTCGTTTCACGCTTTCGCTACATCAGTTGGTATCCAGAGACCGGGTACGTTCCACGATGCCGCCACTGAGAGGAAACACCAACGATCCTACCATCTACGACCGATTGCAACGGATGGATGATCGGATTCACAGTATGGATGATCGGGTTGATGAACTTTCTATGGGGATCGACGAATTACGCCAGACAATGAATACCATGATGAACGAGGTACGTACGAACCGCGAAGGGGCTGATCGGGGCCATCGCGGAGGGATAAGCGGAGGTCGTGGGGGTCGAGGTTATTGCGGGGTGCCCCGCCGACGATCACCACTGCCAACGTTGACCGGTGATGTTTCCGACGAAATATCGAGGGACCACGACTTACAGTGGAGTGCTGTTTTCGACAAACCTCCACGCAGGGCCGATGGCGGCGAGCGCACGGGCGAGGAAAACCTAGGAGCGGCCCGATTTCGCAGTCAACAACAACCTGAGGAGGGTTTTGACTACCCATTTCGGGCCAATCGCGCAACCCTAGGTGGCGTGCGAACTGCTTCAGGCTTCCACAATCATGAATTTCGCATCAAAAAAGGGTCTGAGAAGTGTTTTTCTTACCAATTTTCACCCAATCGCTCACCCTTCGACAACAATTTCCGGGGACCTGCTGCGGGAGCGGGGACGAGCAGAGCTCTTGACGGTGATTTCCGTCGGGCTTCTAATGAGGTGCACAGCGCGCGACGGGATTTTCTTGCCCGCGACCCGCGCTGGGCCGATGAAGGGTTTGCCACAGCCGGAGAGCGCAATCGGAGGCGGAAGGCGACTGGATTTGGCGACGGCGGGGGCCGCGAAGCTCGACGGATCCAGCCCTTGACAACGGTGGTTTTCGATGGTACAGGGCACGACCGGCGAGCGAACCGCGCCGGATTAGCAGGGGTCAAGCGACGAGATTGGCGAGCTGGAGGGTTTCGCGATCTTGGCGATGAGCAGAGACGAGTTGATGGGCAGAGACGCAGACGAGAGTTTGAGAGTTTTCTTCAGTATTTTGGGCCTGCGCAGGGATGGCCCAATTTCTTTAATTGGGACAAGGGGAAGGATTTCTTTGATCCATATTTTGGGCCTCAACAGGTGCAACCCACTCGCGATTTTTGGGCTTCTTCAGTAGCTGCGGATATTGGGCTTGTGCAGAGGGATTATGGCAGCGAATTTGGTCAAGGGGTCGGCCCGTTTCGCGCTGACGTTTTTTACTACGACGAGGATCACGTTGATGAACCAATTTACGATGGTCCGCCCGTTTTTGATGAAGAGCCTCCGATGTCGAGAAAATATTTGTGCAGTAATATGAGTCCCGCGTGGGACGTCGTAACGGTTGAATCTTTGAATGGGAAGCAATCATCCACACCCGATTTTTTGAGTATTTTGACCAAGGATATTTTTCGGAGCCGACGCCGATACTCAATGACTGGTGGACCATTTTTCGATTGTCTATCGCGAAATCTCCCAACAACGGGATGCTTGGCCGTTGTTTTGGACTTAAGCGCAAAAATCGATGTGGTATATTTTGTGTTAATTCGGCTTTGCGACATGTGACGTGTACATGTGCCTTCGTGTCAGTTACGTCCTTGACCGAGTTTATGCTTACGTTCATGGTTGTTGGAAGACGTTCAACATTCGTGTTCGATCGAGGGAAATGTCGGTGGTATTCTTGGGGACGACTCCAACATGAACGAGTCGGATTCGAGGCCGAATCCTGCTCAACCGGGGGAGAATGATGAAGAATTTATATATATGTTTATTATTATTATTATTATTATTATTATTATTATTATTATTATTATTATTCCTTAATTATCTTGATTAGTTGGTTAGGAAGATATTTTATTTACTTGTTTGACAAGTTAGAGACTCCTAGATATTGAACTCTATGTATTAGCAGTCTGGCCAGAATGTACGGGAGTTGAATATTGAATGAAATAAGATATCGTGTTTTCTTTTGGGAGAGTATCTCGTGTTCTGGAGAGAGTATCTCGTTTTATCTTCCCGTTCGTTTCACGCTTTCGCTACATCAGGTTTATGAAGTCATCTATAGTTGTACACAAATGATGTATTGAGACGTGTACTGCGATAAATGCACATAAAACATGTGTAAGGTACAAAATATTTGCAACTTTATTATTTTGTCAAATTAAGAGCCCAAGCTACTTGAGCCGTACACTCCACACTAAGTAGTGGTAAAAGGCCAAATCTTTTTAGGAAGAAAACTCTAATCCAAAAAATAAATAAATAAATAAATAAAATAAAATAAAATAAAATAAAATTTTCAGATTACCATAATCGGAATCTGAAAAAGACTCGAACTTTTTCCGGTATAAAGCATCCCATGTAGCTCAGCTCCTTGGCTCCCATCTGCTCACATCAAAACAGAGTCCAAATATTAAAACCCAATTCATACTGTAAAACGTGGCCCTGCAGCGAAGGACATAAATCAAGAATGATGGGAAATGGAGATCTGGAAAGGGGCCCTTCAGCGAAGGACAGAAGTCGGAGCTATTATGGCGGCGGCGGCGGTGGAGGAGGAGGAGGATATGTGATGGAGTATTCTGACAATCAGTGGACTTCATGGCTGGTGCCGATGATTATTGTGGCTAATGTTGCCATGTTTGTGGTGATCATGTTTGTCAACGATTGTCCGAGAAATCACAGTGGGCTTCGAGGCGATTGTGCGGCCAGGTTCTTGGGGAGGCTCGCTTTTCAGCCCCTCAGAGAAAACCCTCTCTTTGGCCCTTCTTCCTCAACGTACTCTCTTTCTCTCTCTCTCTCTCTCTCTCTCTCTCTCTCTCTCTCTCTCTCTCTCTCTCTCTCTCTCTCTCTCTCTATCTCTCTCTCTCTCTCCCCCTTTCATGATTGCATATTTTTGAATTTTGGTGATGGATTTTGACTGTGAGACTCGAGCAGTCTGGCTGGTGTGTGGCTTTTTGTTTGGACGCTGATGATATGTAGGACTAGTTTTTTTTAAATGTTTTCGAATTGAGGATGTTTTTATGCTTATTATTGATTAGGATTTTGCTAACACAAATTTGGAATTTGACTTCTTGCCATTGTAATTTGATTGGGTGTTGGATTCTGCTTGGTTGAGGCTTTCTTGTTCTAAGAATTTGCATTAGGTTTGTGAGGTTGTAACCTTTTGTTCAGCTTCACTCTTAAAGTAGTTATATTTCAGGGTAAAAAATTGTATTGCAAAAGCAACTTGTGATTCATTTAAGTTTAAAGTCGTGCTTCTGCGTTGATCGTTTTTTCTACCTTTTTTTTTTCTTGGTCACTTTTGATCTATGTACTTTGACCTCTCCATTCAAATTGATTAGATTATAGTTTCGTTATTTCATACTTCGTTGTGCTTTTGATGGGGGGTTTAAATGGTAAAATATGAACTTCTCGTCTTTGTGAATTACTAGTTGCATTTGCAGTTTCGAATTATTAGTGTGATTTCCTGCGAAATGGTTAAACATTCCGGGTTTAGTATTTGGAAGTATGGAAACAAGTTTATTGTTTCTGTTGAAACTTGAAACAGAAAGCTACCTGGTATGAGTTTCGGTTAGTATTATGGGCATTCGACATTGTGTGTAATATTTTATAGTTTCGGTGTCTATATTTGAGTTGCAAGTAAAGGCCTCCTCTTAACAGATGCAACTAATGTGATTGTGATTTCACATAACCATTTCATTTTTACCAACTACTATGGTGCCTGCTCTTTGCAAAAGTATAACAGCAATCTTAGAAACTAATAAATTTTAATAATTCTTTGTTTTTTTTCTTCTTGTAGATTGCAAAAGTTGGGAGCTCTCGACTGGAACATGATAGTGCACCAAAATGAAGCTTGGAGGCTCGTTACCTGCATCTGGCTGCATGCTGGTGTTATTCATCTACTTGCAAACATGCTGAGCCTGGTGTTTATTGGAATTCGCCTAGAACAGCAGTTTGGCTTTGGTGAGAAATTTAAAGTTAAATTGATAGAACAGAAATTGGACATATATAACTATCATTATGGTTATGCATAGACAAGCTTGAACAAAAATCTTGTTGCAATTTGTAGTTTCAAATTTCGCTTTATTTCTTTTTTTATCAACTCAATGAGTTCCAACAGCAATAGGGTTTTTCTGTAGTGATTCCCTTTTTGTTGTGTGTGTTTCTAGTCTCACATTTATGTTTCTGAATGGTGTTATACAGTGAGAGTCGGGCTTGTTTATCTGTTATCGGGCATTGGTGGGAGTGTACTCTCTTCCCTTTTCATCCAGAAGAGTATTTCTGTTGGAGCTTCGGGTGCTCTGTTTGGACTTCTTGGAGCAATGTTGTCTGAGTTATTTACAAACTGGACTATCTATTCTAACAAGGTAATTTCTCGAAGCTAACTTATCTTCCTTCCCGTTTTCCTTCTCTTTTTCACTCTCTTTTTTTTTTATGGTTAAGTTACGACTTACGACACATCTCGATGTTTGTAGTTACCAAAAAAGAAAAAAAGAGAGAGATACCAATCATCTTTCAAAATTACAAATACCATTTTGAGGTTTTTTCAATTTTACAATGTATACTTGTCAAGAGCTTACAATTCATTTGTTTATGGACTTGTCTTGGGATCTTTTTTTTTTTTCCCCTTCAATAGGCTGCGGCTCTATTTACTCTGATCGTGATAATTGCAATAAATTTGGCTGTCGGGATTCTTCCACACGTGGACAATTATGCACACATTGGTGGATTTATGACTGGTTTTCTACTCGGGTTTGTGTTATTGGTCAGACCCCAGTTTGGTTGGGTTGAAAGCCAGCATCGATTGGCTGGTTCAACTCATCTCAAGTCTAAGTACACAGTCTACCAATATATTTTCTGGATTCTAGCCTCTCTTTTGTTGATTGTTGGGTAAGCTTTTCCTACACTTGTTGGTTTTGATTTTTTATTTTTTTTTTTATTTTTTTTTTTGTGTTAACCATGGTTAATTCTGAAAAAGTTGGTTGAGTTAGGTTTGAGTGGGATGTTGAATTTCTATTAAATTAATATTTGAAATAAAATGATTAGATTTGATTTGATGTAAAAGTAGGAGAAAAGTGATTGGAAGTGATGAGTAGTTAAAATTATGTGAGTGGATGAACAATGAATTAAAATCGATGTGATGTATAAAAATGATTGATTTATATTATTTAGTTATATTCATAGTAATATTGATGATTATGGAAGTTGAGTTAAATTTGAATTAGATTTAAGTTGTGATTGAATTTTTTGGGAATAAATTTATAAACAAGCAAGCACGTAGTATACTCAATTATATGTCATTTCTAAGTAATCCATTTCGGATTGGATGTATAAATTACAAAAGTTTTTTTTAGTTTTGACTAAAAGAGCTCTTTCTCAAAATTGCTAGAATTCTCTCGCTCTTTTTGATTTACAACCGAAAGCCATCAGTTTTATTGAGTGGGATGACTGTTAATTTCATTACATTGAGGAGTGCTTTGTAATTCTTGAAAATAGTTACTTTTTTTTTTTTTTTTTTCATGAAACGATACTCGTCATATCTGGAGCCATATTGTATTCATATGTTTTGATCCATCTGTTTTTCGCATCTATTAGTCTAAACATGCTCTAATGGTGTTGAACCGGCCTTGTTACCTTTACGTATTTTGTAGATTTACGGTGGGATTTGTGATGCTGTTCAAGGGAGAGAACGCGAACGATAAATGCAGTTGGTGCCATTATTTGAGCTGCGTGCCTACATCGAGATGGAGCTGCGACAATTGATTCCGAACTTTTTTTTTGGGAAAAATCTTGCCCGTTGTTCTCTGGTTTTCTGGGCTGAGAGTAGTTTAATGATTTTTGTGTGTGTGTGTGTGTGTGTGTGTGTGTGTGTGTGTGTGTGTGTGTGGAGATCATTGTTTATATCTTCTTATAACTAATTCATTACAATGCCTTTGTGATGATGTACATGCCTAGCATTAGAGAATGTTTTATAGAGAAATATTTACAGAAATGTGCCGAGGTTGTACTGGGCTTTCACCAAGCAAGCTTTTATCTGCATTATATTTAGCCAAAAGAAAAAAAATTGTTTTAGCTCATTATATTTGTTTGGTTAAATATTATGTAAAATAAATCAAATCCATGTTTATTGGTCTATACATCAAAGTTTTTGAATCTTATATGTTTTATATAAGTTTAGATTCTCATTACGAAAAATAAAAATAAAAAAATATCATGATCGACTCCATTTGCAAAATCTCTTGGACGGTTGAAGAGTGTTAAGTCTATATATCATCGAGTTTTTTACGATTAAATCAACACAACGACATAAAACTCGGTAAATGTTGCAGATTGGAAATTTTTCGAATGGTTCATAGCTACAAGTTTTCTCACCCCCAACAATTCCTCCATCGAGTCAAATCAGTTGTATCAACCGAAAAAATATGAAACATGTAAAACCGTCGATTCTGACATTGACCGTTCATCAATGACTAAACAGTGTAATTTGTCGGTTGATAGACATAAAAGTCGAAAATTACAAAAAAAAAATAAAAATAAAAATAAAAAAATAAAAATAGTGTGACATAGCAGAGTTTCTCTTCTACGTGCAGGGTACAATTTTAGCTAAAATCCATTTAGAACGCAGCCAAAACATCCACGTTTTGCAGTTTTTTGCAATTACGATACAATAGGTTTGAAGGATGGTTCGAAAACATCGTCTGGACGAGCCTCTGTACAAACTCGCATTGTAGATTTCCTTTCTCTACTAGCAACATGCATTTTAATCTTTGGCACCATTGCAGATTTTTTTTATCTTCCTATCATGATTGAGCATAGTACTCACACTCTCAACCACCAGAATAATCTGCACGAATGAATTATGGATACGTGAACGAATTAAAACGAAATAAAATATTCGTCAGAACACAGATAGAAAGAGATCGGGATTTAGCAACTTCAGAACACAGATGGACGTAATTTTCCAATCACAAAAATTTCATTATCAGTAAAAAGGGTCCCAAAAAAAACCTGGAAACAAGCATATGCCATTGCAGTTGCAAAGTAAAAGTTTGCATTTCCAGTCCCCTGCAAAAAAGTATTAATAAGTTAAAACCCGGCATAGCAATTTAGTTTGCATAATAATTAAGACAATTAATACTTACCCTCCAAATCCATAAATTGTGCATCACAGGGCTCAAAAGCGAAACTCCAACATATCCACAAAAGAGAAAGAATGAAAATTGCATTTCTGCATGTCAAATAGGTTATCGGGTTCGAGTCTTGATTGTTAAGATGAAAAACAAAAAATGAACTGGCGTGTGTGCAGATAAGGGGAATAAAAAAAGGAACCTGCTAACTCATTCACAAACAGTCCCAGCAAGCCGAGGTATAAGGCCGAGTCCCCAACCTGATATAGAGATTAAATTTGAGTGTCCAATAAAGCTTCAAACCAAAAACAGCCAAATAAATGAAAAGCATGTGTATTTTAAAATATAGAGATGGATAGAGAGCTTACTGAAGGATATGATTTTAGCATTGAAGAGATAGCCATGTAAACAAAGACCAAAAAGCAGGGCCTATGATTTAGCCTTATAGCTAAAGGCAAAATCATGAATAGGATGTTCACATGGAAAACTATCAGGAAGAAATTTCGGAAAAAATCAAACACTTCTGCGAAGAAGTACCTGAAATAATAAGACACGTCAAGAAACAAACATATATGCAGCGCAAATGCACATCTAACACCACGTTCGCTTTCCACTTACCATAAAACACCAATATTTGGAGATAAATCTTCAACAGAAAGGATAAACCCATACGTCCTGCAGAATTACCGTTAAAATAACTAATTTATGAAAAGGACAAATGGAAGAGTAGCTATGCATACCTCAGAATTCTCCATCATTCACCAATAAATTGACCATAAAATAATTACAAACATGACAAGCCATATTAAATTTCGGAATTATAAAATTTTAATAAGTGCGCTATTTCATTCATTTTTTTTTTTAAAAAAAAAAGGAGCCTTCCAACATGCACTTGTTGAACACAAAATGCAATGATGCAGCAGATTAATGCTCGTAAGTTGTAGTATTAGACAAATATTAGAGTCGGGTTTTCCAGATGTAATCCTACAACCTGGAACTGAAAGTTACGATACACTGATGCTATAACCCAGACTAAAAGATTCAATAAGAATCCGATGTGTGTATCCTCCAGGGAGACAGATGAAAGGAGGGTGGG